GGAGCGCTTGAATTTCCACCTCGAGAACGAGCATCCGTGCTACTATGACGGTGAAGTTTCGATCGATGAAGTGGTTAACAAAAATAAAAATGTCGGCAGCAAATTTTTAGCTTCGATGGAAGCTAACAAGAAGTATCCCAAAGCCAGAAAACTGACGTACGTTGAGGCTCCCACCAAATTTACGTGGCACTCGGAAACCAACAGTTAGGAGCCTAGGAAAGGAAGTGACCATATCGCGCGTGTGTACTTCGTCCCCCTGGTGCTGGTGACATATATTACTTCCGGTGTCTTATCAACGTTGTTCGAGGTGCAAAGTGTCATCGTGACTATATAAAGTTGGACGGAGTACAACACGATTTGTATCGTGATGCGTGTTTTTCTCTTGTTCTGGTGGAGGACGACAAAGAGTACATTGAAGTGATTATCGAGGCAAGCCATTGGTCGAGTGCCAATTCGTTGAGAAACCTTTTTGCTACTTTGTTATCTTCTGATACTCTCGGTCGACCGGAGTTCGTGGGGGAATCATGTTGGCCTTACCTATCAGATGATATATTATATAATCATCGGAGGGTTTTACAGCACCCAGGTAAACAAATCAATTCGGTCACATACTTATGTCTTTTTTCTTTTTCTCTTATGTCTTTATATTTATAAACTTTCTATATTGTTGTTACAGAATTGGTTTTGAGCGATGATGAATTCAAGAATCTGGCATTGGCGGAGGTTGAAAAAATTTTGCGCAGACGTGGTACGAGTCTACTCGAATACGGTACAATGCCTTTTCCTAATCTTGATCGTAATAAGGCATCCACGAACAGACTGGTGATGGACGAGTTGAATTACGATCGTTGTGCACTCGCTATCGAGAATCAGGAGTTGGTTACCAATATGAATGATGAAAAGCACAATGTTTATGGCTCGATAATGGACTCTGTTTACCGTACCTACAGCCACATGTTTTTCGTTTATGGTTACGGCGGCACCGAAAAAACGTATGTGTGGAGGGCATTGTCTTCTGCTTTGAGATCCAAAGGTGAAATTGTGTTGAACGTTGCATCGAGCGGTATTGCATCACTTTTGCTTCCCGACGGACGCACTGCGCATTCACGATTCAGAATCCCACTAAACCCAATGGAAGGCTCTACATGCGATATTAGCCAGCAGAGTCCTTTAGCCAAACTGATCATACGATGTTAGTTGATCATTTGGGATGAAGCCCCAATGATGAACAAATATTGCTTCCATGCGGTTGACAACACCTTGCGAGCCTTAATGGAAGCAGTTGATCCATCGAGGAAAAATCTCCCATTTGGCGGCAGGTGTGTTATGTTAGGTGGGGATTTCAGACAGATACTCCCCATTGTCCCTAAAGGCAGTCGAAGCGACATAGTTAATGAGATCATCAATTCATCCAAGTTGTGGCGCGATTGTATCGTTTTGAGACTTACTCAGAATATGAAGCTTCGAAGCCTTAGTGGGGCCGATGAGTACGATGAGTTGAGGAACTTCTCTGAGTGGCTTGCAAACATCGGCGACGGTACAGTCGGTGGATCGAACGATGGTTGTGCCGATATCGACATCCCCGACGATTTTCTTATACATTCACAAGGGGATCCTATTGGTACTATTGTTGAGAGTACCTACCCCATGTTCAGGAGTGCAGGTGACGATCTTAGCTATCTGAAGGACAGAGCCATACTCGCTCCCACACTTGATGTGGTTGAGTCCATTAACGAGTACATGAGCTCACTGAACTCATCCGAGGGAAGGACTTACTTGAGTTCAGACACCCCGTGCAAGTCAGATGTTGGATATGATTCTCTTCAGGATCTTCACACTCCTGAGTTTCTCAATGGGATCAAGTGCTCTGGCCTTCCGAATCATAAACTACACCTTAAGGTCAGCACTCCAGTGATGCTTCTCAGAAACATTGATCACTTCATGGGGTTGTGCAACGGTAATGTTCATCAAAATTCAATTTGTCATCTACATTTCCTTTTATCTTTGTACAAATTTGAGTGAGATGGTCTTGTTTTCCGAGTTTTGATGTCAACAGGTACACGGTTGGTTATCACTAAGCTCATTAGCCATGTCCTCGAATGCAGGATTTTAACCGGTGCTAGAGCTGGTGACAAGGTTCTTATTGCTAGGCTCACAATCATACCATCTGATTTGAGGGTACCGTTCAAATTTCAATACAGACAATTTCCGCTCATGGTTTCATATGCTATGACTATCAACATGAGTCAAGGCCAGTCATTGTCCCACGTCAGATTACTATTGAAGAACCCTGTATTCAGTCATGGACAATTGTGTGTGGCACTATCTAGAGTCACGAATCGGAGGGGTCTGAAGGTAATGATTTGTGGTGAGGGAGATTTTGACGATAGAAAAACCATGAACGTTGTATATAAAGAAGTGTTTAATAATATTTAGATTTAGATTTTATTGCTTAACTTTTTTCTCAACGATCATGTTATGATTTTTATAATTGTTTCTTTTTTTTATTTTTTCATCTATCGTATAATTTTTCATGCAAATATACGGGTCAAAAACTAGTTATGATGATGATGTGAGTAACACCAATATGTGTTTAAAATCGACAAAATAAATTTCGAAAATTTAATCTTGATTTTTGAAAAAGTCCGAAATTTTCTTTTAAAAGTCTTTGGGGTGTTGCAATAAAACTAGAGGAAAAGAGAAAATAGAGAGAATATATTTTGTTTGGATGATTTTGATTATAATTGAACTTCATACGAAATTTTTTGATAGCACAATATAATTACATGGGGGCAAAATAGTCTTTCATGTGTGGTTGATATTTCACAACATTTGCAAATTTTCTTGACATTCCAGTGGTCTGAAATCCAACGATCCCAAATCGCAGTAAGGTTGCTGTAGCCTGTTTGAGTGTGCACTGCAGACCCTGAAGAGAAACATAAGCTCAGTTATTATGCCCACCAACACCCACGTACTCGCTCTTTTCTTCCTCTTCACTTTGTTCGACACGGTAACAAAAATGAACTTTTTAGGTTTGGTGTATTAAATTCTTTTCTGTCATATGGCCAACTGCTGCTGATGTATCCTTGGTATTGAGCACAAAAATTTAAGGATGAAAACTGGATCAAAATTCGTTGTTTGATAACTGCTTTTTTTAATAAATAAAAAAAAAAAATCGGATGTTATATTTGTAATTTGAACATAATGAAGTTGAGGCCGATGACATTTGAATTGCAGTGAGAGATGAGAGAAGGAAAACTTAAATCATCATTGTTTATTTGATTCATCAATAATTCTATGAACGATAGGAAGTTAGGTTCATTTGGGATCAGATTTTTTTTTTTTTTCAATTCTCTTTTGGTATGTTTGATTCATTGGACACTCAGNATTTTAATTTTTCAATAAATTGCACAAACTTTGGATGTTTCTGCTAACTCAGTAATGGTTATATTTGCATGTGCAGTAATGTATAGATGAGTTAGCCAGTGTTATGTGTGGTTTAAGTAAATGTTGTTAAATGCAGGAAAACTTCAGTATAACTAATTGACTTGGAAAATGATACTTTTTCTTTTGTTGTGTAATGCTTGCTATTGTAACCAAGAAAGAAGCAGGGGGGGGCTAAGATACTTCTAAACCGAACAGATTAGTTCGGAAAACTGCTTAAACTTATTATTTGAAGGAATTCGTAGTCAGGCCATTTAGTTTCCCCAATAGTTGGAATATGAAAACGCTGCAGTAGGCTGCTTTAGGTTCTGATTTCAATCTGTAAACAAAAATAGTCATTCTCAAAAGTGTAAATAACCATTAACCACATTTATTTCTCTCCGAAAAGGGTGCACACATTTGGAGTAACTAGTAATCAACCTGTACATTTGCACGAATGGTTTAAAAAGATAAAAATATAAAAAAACAAAAATAAATCATAATTTAATTCTCAAAATTGATTTTGATCAAGTAATTGCTATGGAAGAACCGTTACAACAATTTTCTTTATGCTAATACACTCGGTCATTTTCATGAGTGGGTGTGACTTAAAATTTGAGTACAATTTGTAACTTCCTTGATTGGTTTATGCTCATAATTTATGGCATTCAATCAAGTTATTTTGTAACTTAAAAATTAAAAATTGAATGCTGAAAATTTTGAAGGGAGAATAAAATTTAATGCATGAGAATAAAATTTAATGCATGGTAATAAAATTAAATGCTTTGTTGCTCCTCTTTTTATATATATATATATATATAGGATTTGGTTCAAATGAGAACTAAGTCCTAGTGTGAGAACCGTGAGAACCGCTATTTATAGTTGTACGTAGTGCTGATTGATTGTGTTTTAGTGCTATTTTTAAAATGGATCTATTTTCATAAAAATAGCAACACAATTTATATTAGCATTTGTGAAAATGATAGCACCATGTAATATTAAAAATAGCATCATACACAATAAAAAATAGCATTAAATACGGTTCTCACGGTTCTCACACCAGGACTAGTTTTTATTTGAACCACTCCCTATATATATATATATATATATAGACAAGAGGAAAGGGGGAAAGAATGCATTATTTGGAAAACCAATTGAACTTCATTTGTATTTATTGCAAACTTAACATTTAACATTATTCATTACCAAAAGTATTTTTTACAACTCATATTTAGATCAGTCTCTGATTATATTCTGGTTCCATTATCCAAAGTTTGATTCTATATCACATTCTACAGTGATTATCTGGGTTTGAAGCTGATCAAATGGGGGATAAAATATCTGCACCTTCTATTAAATCACCAAATGCAATAATTGGTTGGATATTTTGGTGAATTAGATTATTCAATTTCAGTTATTATTATTATTTTACCTTATCTACAGACTCGTTGATTACAGAAACTTCAACTATGTTGTAACCTAACTAC